GGATAAGATTCTAGTGGTTTTTAGTGAATTGTGTGCATTTTATTGAATTTTAGTGGAATGTTGTGAATTCTATAATATTTTAGTGGATCTTAGTGTATTGTAGTGTATTGGAATAGATTTATAATTGATTTTAGTATATTGAATTAGATTGTAGTTGATTATAGTGGATTGTAGTGTATTGATTTTTATTCTAGTTTATTGGTTTATATTAAGGTGGATAGTAGTTGGTTGTAGTGGATTGTACGATATTGGATTTAATTTTAGTGGATTTAAGTGGATTGTAGTTTATTCTAGTTGATTATAGTGGATTGTAGTGTATTGTACTGGATTGTAGTGGATGGGTTTTTATCGAGTGTGTAGTAGACGATAATTTATTGTAGTGATTGTAGTGAAGTGTACTAAACTTTGATGGATTGTAGTGGATTGTAGTGGATGGTAGTGGAATGGATAAGAATGTAGTGGATTTTAGTGGATTATAGTCGATTGTCGTGGATTGTAGTGGATTCGATATTATTGTAGTGGATTTTAATGGATTGTAATGGATTGGATTAGATTTTAGTGTATTAACTTAGAATGTGGTTTATTGTAATTTATTGTAGTCGATTGTAGTGTATTGTACTGAAATTTAGACGGTTGGTTTATATTGAGGTTGATGGTAGTGGATTTGATTAGATTGTATTTGATTGTGTGGATGATAATTTATTGTAGTGATTGTATTGAAGAGTACTAAAGTGTAGTGATTGTAGTGTATTTTAGTGGAGTGGAACATATTGTAGTTGATTGTAGTGTATTGTAGTGTATTGTAAAGGATTTTAGTGGATTTTAGTTGATTATCGTCGATTGTAGTGGATTCGATATTATTGTAGTGGACTTTAGTGGATTATAGTGGATTGGATTATATTGCAGTGGAGTGTAGTTGATTTGATTTTATTGTATTAGATTGTCATTGAATGTAGTGGATTTTATGAATTTTATTAAGCTGGAATAGACTGCATCGGATTTTTCTGGATTGTTTTGCATTGATTTGGAATGTCGTATATTGGATTAGAATGTAGTGGATTGTAGTATATATTGGCTTAAATTGTATTTGATTGTAGTGGATTATAGTGGATTGTATTGGATTATATTAGTGTGTAGTGGATTGTAGTTTATCAGATTATATTGTAATGAAGTAGATTGTGGTACACTTGAGTCTTAACTTCGCTCCGACCCGTCTGGCCCGGCCTGGCATCCCGTTGGGGATACTTATGAGACTCAGATGAGTTCAAAACGGCAGTCCAGTCTATCCTCGATGAGATCAAGGTCGTAGTGAGGTCTATTCATCTCATTTTGGCAAATCTCAACCATGATTACTAAACTCATCCAATGCGACTTAGAATGGCGTTGAATTGCTGATGTTCTCGAAAGCGACTTGAACCAACAAATGCAAATTCAACGTCAAAAATGTTAAGCCCATAGGAGGAATAGACTTTAAGTGGATCATCCACACGTCATTAGCTCCAGGCAATATGTATGGGCTATGAAATCCCTTGACATCAAGTCCACTCTCCAGGTCAGCCTAGTTACTGCTGCCATTGAGACTAATAGATTAGGAAATATGGTGGGTTAAAGGAACGGATGTAAGCGGTTGACTAAAAACTACTTATGCTTGATTGATTGTCTTAAATAGAAAAATGGTGCTGAGCCAACAAGCAAATTAGGGCGACTCAATTTGTCAGCTTAGACATGCTTCCAACCGCACTTACGTTAGTTCAACACGTCTTTTAAGCTCATCAACCCAACTAGAGGTACCAAATTACGCGACATCGATCGTGCCTTTTCTTGGCATAGTAAACCCTGTTGACCTTGGACTGGCGATTGTGATTGGGATTGGGATTGGTGATTTCGTACTCTGATTCACACAGTTCCTCCTCTCAACCGGAAGTACGTTCGAGCTCATGCAATCCTTAGTTGTAATTGGTCATTGGTCATTGGTCATTATATCATTAGTCACAATTACGCGACTGCAGACGCCAACCCGCACATAAAAGCATAAGCACACGCTTGATTATACTTACTTATATTAATAAGGAAAGGAACCAACAAAATTGTCAACATATCCCATTATCACCACTATCTTCCTATCTCTAACCATGCATTTATTCGTGAATATACATCATCTGCAAGTTAGATTTAACTAATTTTCTTCGCTCATAGTCAACTTTATGACTTGGCAAGAATATGACAGACGAAAGCTGGACATAGTTTGTTTGAAACAATGACAGATACTTTGTGGAATGCTTCAAGCTCTCACAATAAATGAAAGTCACGAGAGGAGACCATTCGCCATTTATTGTGAACTGATTTTCGGCCTGCACTTCAGGAACTGTACGGAATTTGGGCAGAATTTCCGCCGAAATGTGAATCAAGAGCTATTTCATAGTTGAATTTTCCCACAATCCGATTATTATGCCTCATCTTCCCGTTGAATTTCACACCACTTTGCTTTTCCAAAAGGCGTTCTCCACCAAGCAGGAGTGACCGGCAGATTCGAGCTCGCCACCCACAGCGGGACTCAAACCCGGCTTGCGTCAGCGCAGCTTTTTGTTTACAGTCTTATGAGTAGATTTTATGGAAACTTTATCTACCAGTCCCTGAGCACAGAGTGGCATGACTCTGCATTTTGCAGGGAAAGTTGGTTGAAATGAATTCGTGATGTGGCCTCACCAGAAACCGAAGGAGGATTTTCGCGTAAGGAAGACTGTTGAAGTGTGTGAAGAAGCCTAGGCTAATCGTCCTACGACCCCGATGAAACTGAGACAGACGTCATCGGAGCAATATTCCATACTAAACCAAGAAAAAAGGCGGTTTAGTATATTTTTGCTATATTTCGTGAAGTGTCGGTTTTTGCAAACTTTAGCACTCTTCCTTACGCGGCAAACCTCCTTCGCTTTCGGGTGAGACCACATCACGAATTCTTTCCCGCCAACTTTCCCTCCGAAACCCGATTTTTCTTCAAATCTCGATCAGATCAAACAAAATAGGATAAATACGTTTCTTAGATCCGATCTGATGGTAGTCTCAAAACAACTTCTTATTACATACACTAAGAATACGTCTTTAAATTAGCCCAGATGGCTAGTTTTGACAAAGCAGCGTCAAAATAAAAAAACATTTTTCACATGCGCAAACACACCTAACTCCCGACGACACGACGACTCATATCGATTGAATGGGATTGATAAACATGCGCCCAACTTTTATGCCTCCGCATGTGGTCGGCGAGGCTGCACGACTTGGGGCATAATTCTCGGCGTTAAGGTCGCCGTCTCTCGGCCAGGCCTGTGCTCATGTCGGCTGTCCTCAGACGCACGGGACAGGTCGAAGGGGGCGGAGGGTGTGCAGGTTTAATTCTTGAAGCCGGCTCTGACCCCTTTTTGCCCGACTTCACCAGCCCAGGCAGGACGACCTCGAGAAGAGATTCTGGATCTGGCACTCTCGCCGGCCTCGCCCGGTTACCGTGTCGCTCGACTGTAGGCGCGGTTGCCAGGAGCCGAAAATCCTCTTCGCAATGAACATTGTTCGAGTCCGGCGGAGGCAGCAATCGAGCCTCGATTGGGCAGATGTTCCATAGCGCCTTCTTCCCGGAACAGCCGCACCGAAGATTGGGTCGAGAAAAGATAATGTTTAGTAGAAGTGGTTTCACCTCCCTTTTTTACAACTTGCTCGTGTTGTCATGGCTACCTGATT